AAAATAATTATAATACTTAAATTAAATAGTGTTAACCCCAAGCAAGGCAGTAAAGTCACTAAGATACAAGGGGTCACTACGTTTGGAGAAGTTAGAAACAAAAACATTACTAAGGAGCGAGAACAAAAGATGAAAAATCAGGAGGATAATCGATAGCGATTGATATTGTAATTAAAATCTTGAAGATTAAAGTTAACTGGAAAGCATGGAGCTGGGAAAGAGTTCCGCAAGCGAGAAGTGCGAGAAAAACTGTTAGCATAGAATATACGGTTATATCTTGCCAAACTAACTCTAAATTGATAAGACCTCTTCGCCAGTCTTGTATTGCGCTTAAATTCATAAAGTCTAAGTACGATAGCGAAGAACCCAACCGAACAGTTACTATGAAAACATTTGTAGAAAAGGCAGAGAGAGGCAACTTTACGGCAGGGGGAAAGTGACTGAAGCCGAGATGCCAGATCAGGACAATTAATATTGCTGATTCTTCTTTGGATTTTATCACAGAGCTGTAGATAAATAGCAGAAACAATGAACCATATGCAGCAGCAATATTCTAAGCATGGACAAATGATAGAATTAGAGAATCTGGGGATAAAAAAATGTCTAGCCCGACACAGTGAAACCACTTTTTTTAGTCGCAATGGATTCAGTGTAGTTTTTCCACGTCATCGTTATTTTATATTAGCAAGCAAACACAGCATAATCTTTATAAGTCTCATTGTCTCTGTAAGATTCATAATTTGCCCAAGTAAAAAGTATAACGAATGAGGCTAAGTTGTTCTTACCGGGTGTACCAATAGTTAATGTAGAATTTCTTTTTAAGGCTGGGTTGAACTATTTTTTTTTAATTTTTGGTGGAATCAACTTTGCTTACTTGGGCGGAAAAATAACTTCATTTGCTTACAGCAAATTAGTATTAGTTTGAGTCATAAATAATTTCCGTTTTTGTATATCATCTTTATTCTTTAACAAATATAGTATAATTACATTTTATTCAATTATATATTCACTGTTATTTGCAATGACTTTGTGCCACTTACCAGGCAGCTCTTCGATACCTTTTCTGTCCACATCAAAGCGTTTTGCAGCAACTGAATAAAGTAATAACTGTTTGATGCAAGGTCAAGTGAAGATGGCGGGTTGGGTAGAAAAGTCCAACCGAGTTCCAATTTGTCTTCCTGTGTTGTTCCTGTTGTCTGCAGCCTTGCGTTGTGATGGGAGAGAGCAAAATTTTTCCAATTAATGCGCGCAGGACACTTTTCGATCAAATTTTTATGGGCATGTTGCAGCTGCTGGACTTATAAATGTACATTTACTGTTTCATTGTATAAGTTATAACTTGAAAGATTCCATCATATGAAACTTTTTCGAATCCTGCTTAACACCTGCCAAGACCGGAACACGAAGACCAAAGTTTCTCCTCCGTGCAAAGATCGGGAGCCTAAAAAACATCATGACTCGTCATCCGCCTACCCAAACAGATCGTCTTCTTGGAGCTCGCATCAGGTAAGAGACCACGTGGGGACTCACGTCGTCGATTCAAGGATCAGCTCAAAAACACCTTGCCGACGACATAAATCAATTCGGTTAGTTAGGGGATGGAAACTGCAGAAAGAATCAATCATATCTATCTATCTATCTATCTATCTATCTGCCGTGTAAAAACTAAGGTATCTTTTTCTAGTCTAAGTTTATTCTTAATTGCCACATGTGATTACGAATAAGTATGTTACATTTGGCTTTACAATTGGTCCCACAAAATAAAAAAAATACTTATGACTCAACCTAATTCCAACTCAGTTATTCCAACTCAAGGCATCTATCTATCTATCTATCTATCTATCTATCTATCTATCTATCTATCTATCTATCTATCTATATTCAGTTTCTTTTTTTCTTTTGTTCTTTTTTCTTTCTCCCTCTCTCTTGCAAGTCCATTTTCCTCATTATATGTCCAAGAAATTCCAGATATTATGTATAAGTGTCCTTTTTGAGAGCAATTAACGAAAAAGCAACATCCTCCGAAAACACCAGAAGATAAATAAAAGAGACGAAGAGAGTCCAAAAAAAATCCAGAGATCTCCATCCTCTGAACCCTCCTACTCTACCATGCGGTGGTTGCGGACGTCACTTCAGATCCAACATAGGACTCATTTCATACAGAAAGAAATGTCGAAGAGCACCCCAATATTCGGCAACGAGTTCTGCCAACGACGACGTATAAGATATTATAAATAAGTTACTGTAAATATTACTAATTAAATCGATATTATATGCGGAAATTAATATGCTAAATTTATCATATAAGTATTATGTTGAGTCCGAAATAATTTTTGTTTAACAAATTGTTTCTTAAAAAAATTAAGTACGATTGTATTTCATTCACTCTTATGTTCACCATCAATTTGCAGTCACTTGTTGTCACTTATCAGGCAACATTTTCAATAACCTTTCAGTAAAATGCAGCAGATTTTGATATGAAAAACTTTTCGACGAATTTTTGAATCTGATTTTTAATAGAGAAAATGACTTACGAAATTTTTCCTGTATTATTCTTGCTGTATCCGGCGTTGCATTGACATGGGAGAGAATAAGATTTTTAGGGAAGACATGAATCCATCTATTCTCCCGGCAGTTTGGGTTGAATAGCAAGACAGACTCGGTTATTTAGCCTTGGTTGGCAAACAGTTTACCGCCGAGAGAAATGGCAACCTACTGCGGGAAAAAAATCTGCCTCGTCAGTCATGTATCGAAGATTCATATGCGCCCAAGCGTGTATCACGTATGATTGACTGAAGCTGCCGTGTAAAAACTAAGGTATCTTTTTCTAGTCTAAGTTTATTCTTAATTGCCACATGTGATTACGAATAAGTATATTACATTTGGCATTACAATTGGTCCCACAAAATAAAAATTACTTATGACTCAACCTAATTCCAACTCAGTTATTCCAACTCAAGGCATCTATCTATCTATCTATCTATCTATCTATCTATCTATCTATCTATCTATCTATCTACTTTTATCTGCCTCAACACATCTATCTATCTATCTATCTATCTATCTATCTATCATTTTCTTTTTTTCTTTTGTTCTTTTGTCTTTCTTTCTCTCTCTCTCTCTCTCTTGCAAGTCCACTTTCCTCGTTATATGTCCGATAAATTTCAACTAACTCTTCCATATATTATGTATAAGTGTCCTTTTTGTTTCTGTTTTCTCAAAAATTTTGTTGTTGCTCACATGTTCAGTCTATGGTTTTCCTGACATCCTTTTTTAGAAGCACATTTCTATTGCTTCAAATCTCTTCATCTGTGGGGAGATTGCCAGTACTTTTGACTTTGTTTCTACCATTTTTTCTCTTTCTTAAGACTCTGCTTAGCTTTTAGAAGGCATCTTTTACTGTCCGAATGCACCTTCGGATTTCAGTGTCACACTTGCCAGTACTCTTTTCTTTGTTTCTACTAAAATTTTTCTCTTTCTTATTACTTTGCTTAGCTTTTAGAAGACACGTTTTGCTGTCCCAAAGCACCTCCGGATTTCAGCGTCATATTTTCCATCCTCTGATAAAATAGATCCGTGATATTTAAATTGTTGTACATGTTTGGTATTTCCAATTTATAATTTGCATGTTGTGCTGATATCTGAACATATCATGTTAGAGAATTCTCAGGACGACTTGGAAGTGGTACAGAGTTTATAAAGATATATAACTTTCCCAAAATTATTATCAGTATAAACTTGATTATATAACAGTTCTATTTATTCTGTTTCTCATACCAAACCTACCAGATCATTTGACATTGTTTGTGGCTGTGTATTTTTCAGACACAATCAAAAGATATTATGTAATGTATGATAGTTGATGGTATATTCAGTTTACTTTATTCTCTAAATATTAGAATTCCACAAACTTATAATAATTATATTAAAAGAAAATAGGTAAACTGGACAAGTCATGAAATATGGATAACATTCAATGTACCATCCAAAATATTCTCTGCTGAAATATTAACCAAAAAAAATTCTATGTACTGTGTCCCTTCTGGATGTTGACAATCACGGCTCTCCACAACAACCTCTTAATAAATTTTATCTTTTTGTTATTTCTCCTGTTCTGCCGTTCATTTACTCACACTTCTTAGCTAGTTTATCTGTTGCTTTTCTCTCTCCCTGTTACCTTCAATCTACCCTGGGACTATCCAATTTTTCAAGTCATCTTTCCTCTTTGTTTGTCCTAGAAATTACAACTACTCTTTGTAATGTTATGTATAAGTGTAAACGAATATAACGAACCAGGCTGGAATTCAAACTCAGCTCACTGATTTCCAATTTCAAACTATTATTCATTACACCACCCGCACATCCAAGCTTACAGCACCTGGCATTACTCAAACGGTCACCCATCTCGGCACTGACCAGGCTTAATGTTACTTAACTCCGGCGATTATATGAGAACCGTTGTTTCAACATGACATGGCCGTAAGCCGAACATTTTTTCATATGGTTGGCAGTTCATATTTATACTAAATAAGTGCACCAGGCAGTAATATTTCCACACATAAAAGGAGGGTACAATTAATCTTCAGAGGTAAACACATACTGGCTTCTTAAAAATGGATTGGTAAGGGAGGTAAGTTAAGTAATGTAAAATATAAGCATATATTTACATTGCTTTATTCTTCTTCTATACGCCATGTCCCTTCAAGGCACTAGTGATCATGCCTTTCCACAATTTCCTGTCTTTTGTAGCTCATAATGAATTTTGTCTTTTTGCTATCTCTCTTAAACCTTGTTCCACCATCAATTTACTCATGCTTGCCAAGTAAGTTATGTGTTGTTTTACTCTGTCCCTCTTACTTTAAATGTCCTGGGAGCAACAATTTCATACATTTCTTAAGTATATTTGTGCATAAATGAATATAACAAGCCAGATTCGAACCCAAACTCAGCTCCCCGATTTCCAATTCCATTATTCATTACACCACTCGCACATCCAAATTTACAGCACCTGGTATTCTCAAGCAGTCACCAATCTCGGCACTGATCAGGCTTAATGTTGCTTAACTTCGGTGATCATATGAGAACCGTTGTTTCAAAATGATATGGCCCTAGGATGGCAGTTCATATTTATACCAAATAGGTGCACATGAAAGGAGGGAACAGTTTAGTCATCAGAGCTAACCCCGTCGTGGCTTTTTAAAGATGGATTGGTAAGGGAGGTAAGTTAACTAATGTAAAATATATGCATTTCTTTTTAAGAATTTCATCCCTAGCAAGGCGGGAAGCCACTAGGACGCAAGGGGTTGGTTATAGAGGATTTTGAGCGAGAGCAGGTAGGAATGATAGAGGAAAGGATGAGGAGAAGGATAGTGGATAGATCAAGGCAACTGAAGATGTCGATCGACATTACATTTGAATAGTTGAAGATTATAGCTATCAGGGAAATAGGAATAGGGAAGGGAGTTCCACAGGCGAGAGGTGCGAGATATGAAGCTATTGGAGTAGAAGAGGCGGTTACATTTAACAGTTTCAACAGTGAAAGGGTGAGAGCGAGATACCAGCCTCGTAGGACGCTTGAATTCGCGAAGTCTTGGAACCAGCGAAAACAGCTCATCGGAGCAATTACCATAAAAGTATTTGTAAAAAAAAGACAGAGAGAGGCGACAGCACGTCTGTGAGAATTTACATTGCTTTATTATTCTTCTATATGCCATGTCCCTTCAGGGCACTGGCGATCATGCCTTTCCACAATGCTCTGTCCTTTGTAGCTCTTAATAAATGATTGCTTTTTGTTTTTATCCCTAAACATTGCTCCGTCATCCTCTTTATGTAGGTTATGCATTGTTTTTATCTGTCCCTTTTGCCTTCAGTCTCCCAATTGAGTTCTAAACTTTGTATCTATGCTGTATACAGTGTTGCATTGTCATGGTGAAGAATAAAATTTTTGCTTTAATCCACTGTGTACGCTGCCACTACCGCGCAAAAACTTTTTGTAATTTAGTATTTATGTTTCTAGAAGATACAAATCGAAACTTAAAGAAAATATTATTCATTATTATAATAAACAGCTTCCTGTATATTTGCAATTTTATTTTTATATTTTTGAATCATTTCACCCCATGCAAGACAATAAAGCCACCATTAAAAGGCAAGGGGTTACTGGGTGTTAGAGAATATAAGAAAAATACTATTAAGGAGAGAGAACAATAAAATAACAAGAATTAAGAAGACAGAAGATAACGATCGACATTGCATTTAAATTTTTGATGATAAAATTGACTGGGTAGCAAGAAGCCGGACGAGCGTTCCACAAGCGAGAAGTAAATTGAAGAAACTGTTAGCATAGAACTTACGGTTACATCTAGCCATTTCAATTGTAAAATGATAAGACCTTATCGCCAATCTAGTACTGCGTTTAAATTCATAATTTTTAGGTAACACAGTGGAAAGTAATATTTATTTTGTTTTAATACAAAAATGTGACATAAAGCCAAAAGGTGGGGATAAGAGAAGGCTTGTTTCCAATCTGTCTTAAACGTCAACATTATTCATCATTATTCGACCGTATTCGGGATCATCGAACCAATACCAACGATCCTTTCTTTTGCTGTATACATTGTGCTACGCCAGGGTTACATACAATTTTGAATTCAAAGTTACTTTCTCCTAGACTGGTTGCCACCCAAGTCTATAGAACCCAGTCTGTCCTGCTATTTTACCCATCTTAGAGTTAGCTAGCCATGATTACTGATCCAAACATACCACAGTATTCCTTCCACCAAAACAACACATTTTTACTTATGTTTCTTACTACAGCCACCATAATACCAAAACATCTGTGTAGTCCTAACTAGTTCTCATATGTACAAATTTTTCTGGGGGCGGGGAATAAAAATAACAATATTTGAAAATTAAACCCTAATGTATATTTACAATGAATACAATTTATATACAATTAACTAAACAGAGAGAAAAGTTCATCAGAACAATTACCATGAAAGTATTTATAGAAAAGACATATGAAAGCTACATTATTGAAATGCCAGATCAGGACTAATAATATTGAAGATTCTTCCTTGGATTTTATTTAAATATATAGCAGGAGCACCAAACCAGATGTAGCAGCAATATTATTAATCGATACATATTAGCGTTATTGATTAACAATCGTCACAATATTACTTAATAAACTTCCAATAATCGCGGTTAAGTTCAGTTTATTTACATTTCTACAACATGATTTTGTTTCTATATGCAAATGCCTTTACTTTTCACGCATCTTTTCATAATAAACATCCTTACCTTATTATAATAGTGCTCGTTCCTCCGTTAGTGAATAAACACATGCGTTACGTCCTACCATTGCCGTAGATAAATAATGGACCATGTCGTTTTGATTGTGAGAAAAATCGGAAGAAAAAATGGTATATCAGAGACGCTGTTGGATTTTAGTGAGAAAAGAAAGCATGCATAATAATGATAAGAAAGAAAGAAAGAAAGAATGAAAGGGGGGAGGCTATAACGCTCCCATGAGTTTAACGCCAGTGAAGTGGAAAAACTTGTCAATTTTTAATCTGTTCATTTGTAACTTCTCTAAGTAATGAGTTGCATTCATACTTATAATTGTTATTGCAAGATTTTGTTAAAGATGTTAAGCTCAAATATTTAACGATATAATAGAGGAACTTACGCGGGTATTTTATAATTGCGAAGCTCAAAATGAGCTTATTTAATCATTGTTAGAAATTATGATTCATCAGAAAATTCAAATAAAAAAACGTGAAAGGATGCCATTATGTCGCTGAATGCTGATTTAGGTGATTCGATTTTCGGGCTTGCATTTTGGGATCTAACAATCACAGCGCATGATCAAAAGGAAGTCGGTTCTTTTAACGTTTCCTGTAAGGCGAATATTAGTTATGTTACAAACAGACATGGAAGCAATAACTGTAGCAGTTCTTAAATAATAAGGTATTCCAGAGATATTCGATGGTATTAATGTTAGTTTAGAGGTAACATCAGCACACATTGTGTGAGTCACTTGTCCTCAAATTTTTATTTCGTTTTAGCGCTTTCTTTCCTTCTGAAGCGTGAAAATGAAAGCGTTAGCTGACAACCATTTTTTTTCGAGATCAAGAAAAGTTGTTTCTTTCTCCTGAGATTGCTTTGATTTGAGCTTTAGGGTAAGCAGCTTGGTTTTCACACCTTTAAATCCACGTTAATTTGCCTTTTACTTGTTGATCAGCATTGTCTGTAAAGGTATAGTTTACAAGATAGTTAAATAAAGAGGGAGGAGAGAGAAATAGACGCATTTATGTAATAAGGCGATGCTTTCATTGCGCCAGATATAATATAACCCTAGAAGATATTCACACACAGACACAGACACCCACACGCACACTCAGAATTAGGTTGCTATACGTGTGTTCCTGTTTCTATCTATCGATATATCTATCTATCTATCAAAAATAACCCAAAATTAACGGTCCTGCGTATGACGATAAGCTACATTCGGCAGAAACGCCTCTAATCGGAATGTTTTGAGAAGTGTGGAACCACTTATTAATTGCTGTTGTACCCAGATTCCCCTTGACCCGGGATAGTAGCACATATTAAAGTTCCAACTATAGCCAATTAGGTAAACCCCAAAACTGGGATCAAAACACTATGGAAGTATAAAAGTACATTTTCATACAAAAAAAAAAATATTACCAGCAATACATTTTTGATAAACAATATTATCACCAATATATTTTTGTAAATGAAATTACTAATGCTCTCAAAAAAATTCAACTTCGGCATTAAATGACCTATAATGAGTTGACAGAAACCACGGAGCCAGGAGAGAGAAGTGCGATAAAAAGAAATTATTATCATTGAACTTACGGTTGCATCTCGTAAGCTCAACTCGAAATTGATGAGATATCGACGCCATTCTCGTACTGTGCTTAAATTCTTAAAGTCTAGGTATCATAACGAAGAGCTCATATGAACAATTACCATGTAAGTATTTATATATTAAACAAGATCCTATTAAAATTAGAAAATATAAATTAAGCTGAAGGATGGGAAAAAAAATTAAAAACAAAACAAAACAAAAAAACGATTATTTTAGATAGAATACAAGTCAAATGGAATAACTGCTTGGTCGTAATAAGAAATATTACTAGAATTCAGATTGAAGGAGGTTTTCCGCTACTCAAAATACACATCAACTTATGCTGTTCATTTCTTCTCGGTTTTCTAGTTACATGGAGGACGCCTTACGGATTTGTCAGCAGAACCCTATCAACAGATACCAGAAAACATCCCGTTTCATCTTTGTTTTCCTGGTTAGCTTTTTTCACCGTTCATCCAAACAATCTTTTGTTCCATCTATTATCATCTCTTATTGCTGTGTTCCGCACAGTTTAATTTCTGTTGATTAATGACGCCTCTGAAATCTCTTGTTCTGTTATCGAGTCCATGTTTAAAAGGAAACTAATACTTAACACCAAGAAGAGAAAGATGAAGAAAACAAGAGGAAAACAACGTATACCTTGAATAAATGGATGGCTGAACTGGGCTTAGGAGAAATAACAAAAATCAAAGTTTATGAAGAGCAACAAGGGACAGAAAATTGTGGAATGCCATTATCGTCTATGTCCCGAGGGGACACGCCATATAATGAAGTCACTTAGGCTTATCCAAGCAGTGTGTTTTTTTTTTCTATTGATGTTATGTATTTCCGAGTTTGTTTTTAAATGATTTTTTAAATTTCTATTAATATTATACATTCATTACAAAGTTTACATTTTAAGCATTTTGGCAAGGTGTATTTTATGATGGGTTTATTTTTATTAACCCATGAATCGTTATACGTTGTTTTATTGTAAGTAATTGTATTCCTGGATCTCTTCCAGTTCTTCATCCTTTATTCTTAAGATTATTTTCGGGATGTTATTACTTTTGCTTGTATTACTGTTTATCTTTAATCATATCTTGATGCCTTCTATATTTAGAGAATTTATATTTTATTGTATCTCATTCGACGATTCTAATGTTAGTAAAGTGCATTACTTTTCACCAGCTCTTCATTAAAATTGTCATCTGAGCTTCATTAAGATCTGA